ATATATATATATATATATATATATATATATATATGAATAATGGTAAGTTAATGAAGGAGGACTCTGGTGAAATAAATTATTATAATGGTACCTTAAAGTGGTCTGTTTTTCTTATATATATATATATAGTGTGTATTTAGGAAGCAATTCTTCATTTATACATATTTCGTTAAAGACGACAGCTTTTCATTTAATTTTTCTTGGTTTCGAACAACTGTTTTCTTTTCTGGATACAGAATGTGTAAAAATATCCAAATGTTCTGTAATTTTGAGCGCATTCGGTTATCCTTTTAGCCATTATCAAGGATGATTTTATTTTTGCTTTTTGATTGGATGTATGGGTTGTGTGTATGCATTCAGAGTTATAGGAATGTTTTATTTTCCGAACACAGCACATTGTAGCCGTGTTCGTAGTTAATATTATTAAGTGTTGGCTTTTTCTTCTTTTATTATTAAGGCTTCCATTATTTTTAATCTTTTTTTACATGTGGATGAGGTTATTATGTTTGTATTTTCTACTAGTATGTGTCGGATGGAGTCTGGTAAGTTTGTATGTGTGTGTTCAAATGGTATCTAATAAAGCTGTGACCGGATAGGTAAAGCGTTAGACATGTATTATTGTGACCGATGTAATTGTAATATATATATATATATATATATATATATATATATATATATATATATATATAATATCTCTTAAATGTATTAATTTTAGAGAGAAATATATAAAATATGAAAAAAAAAATTCAAAGTTGAATAGTTTATTGCTTTAATATTCAAGATATATTGAACATAAACAAAAAACGTAGAGCACTATCAATATTGTGATATTTTATAAGTGTCATTCAATTTCAGAATCAGTCAGTGAAGTGACATCACATGGTGCACCCTTGGACGATCATGTCTCTTACGATCCATGACTGACTCAGCAGGAGATATTCCCGCAGTAGGCTGTCGTTTCTTTTTACGGTAGACCGGTTGCAAGCCAAGGCTATGAATCTCAGTATTCCCTGCTATTCAACATGAGTGGGGGGAAGAAATGGATTCACACCTTTCCCAAGGGTATTTGCGCGTAAGTCAAATTCGAACTCGCCTCTCCGATTTCTCATTCGGAGCCGTTATCCTTTCTTTATAATCACATGTCGGGTCATAAACTTTGACCTAGGGCAAACGAAAGGTGTGATTTTTTTTGTTTTTTCCACTTAAAGAAAACATCATCAATAATAAAAAAAAAAACATTAGCAAAACTTTAATGGACAAAGTTCTTCACAAGATATGGACTCTGACTGTTAAAACTATTTATTTATTTTTTTTTTGCATTTCCTGGAGAGATAACTCGCCAGAGATTTTATTTGTTGTTGAGTTCCTTTCTTTATAAGACCCAAAGCTCCATCCAAAATAGGAACAGTTTTAGTTTTTAATTGCGACATTTTTTTTTATATTTCCATCTCCAAACTTTTGTATTTGCTTAGTTTTTCAAAAAATCACAGATATATTTTTTGTCATTTGGTAATTTCAGGCCAATCATTGTGCAAATTTGTTCTTTTCTGTCTTTAATAATAATATTTTACATGTATTGTTCGATCTGTATTGATAGAAAAATTCCAGTGGATTCTATTATTATTATTATTATTATTATTATTATTATTGTTGTTCTGCTTGTGCCACCTTTAGTTAGCTCTTGCCAATAAATAATATACTATTACGTTTTGATGACGTGGAAAGACGGAAAAGACATATCAGAGACGCTAGTTGGTTTCTGTAAGACAAAGAAAGGATGGAATACCCTGTAAATACCTCATAAATAAGTCAATAAATAAATAAATAAATAAAGAAAGAAAGAAAGAAAGAAAGAAATATTCTACAAGTAAATAAAGAAAGAAAAAGTCTAAACAGGAAAGCCATAAAAATTTCACGGGTACTGCTACTACTACTACTAATTATTATTATTATTATTATTATTATTATTATTATTATTAATATTATTGTTATTATTATTATTGTTGTTATTAATATTATTCTTGTTGTTATTCTAGTTAGCTATCTAACACGGATGTTTTGCCCTGGAAATAGCTAATAAATAATAGACTATTCTTTTTTTTATATCGAGGCAAGACTGAAAAGATATATAAGAGATGCTGTTTGTTTTTAGTGAGAAAAGGAGATAGAGAGTAAAGATAGAAAGAGAAGATACAATAGACGATATCGCTCTCATGTACTTAACATCAGCTTCAGTGAAATAGAAAAACTTTACTTTAAACTTTAATTATAAATCTTTTCATTCGTACTCTCTTCTTTACATATTAAAATGCATTCATAATTAGGATTGTTATTGCAATATTTTCTTAAAGTTGTTAAGCTCAAATATTTACCAACACAATATGGCGGTTTTATTGCCGTCATATTTGGACTGAACACATTTATTTATTAATTATTATGATAGATCAGAAAATAGGAAAACCGTGAAATTCTAACCGGAACTTCTAGCATATGTCCAAAGCTACACGAAAATAAACATCGACAATTGTCGAATTTAGAATTCTTAGATTCGGTTAGGTTTTGAGATATTCAGTTAAATTACGTTTCAAACCGCGACTGGTTCTTTGCGGAAGGAATGAACCCACTTCTCCCGGCGCTTACACCTTTTATTAAAAGCTCTCCATTTTTTTTCTCTATATTGCTCTCATTTTTCTTGGTGATCATGTCTCTTCACATCTTTTTATTTGTTACTTTCATCAATATCTGTTTCTTTGCAGCCCTTCTTTTACTTTATAACACCTTTTTCTCCATCAATTTACACAAACCTGTCAAAACCTACTGCTTTCTTATGATTCTCTTGTCTTCGATATGTCTTGTGAGTGTTAAATTTTCCAGGCCTTTTTTCTTAATATGTGTCCTAAAGAATTCAGTTGTCTCTTCCCTATTATAATCAACGGTTTCATATTATTTCATATTCGACAAATCTGCGACATTTATTTAGACCTAGATTCGCTATTTTTTTCATTAATTTGCTCTTCCATGAATCCATTTCTTCTCCTCCAAGTTATGGGCTAAACAGCAGAACAGTCCTAACGCGGAAAGAAACGCCAACCTACTGAGGGAATATCTTCTGCCTATTCAGTAATGGTGATTTTCTAAGCGTAGCGTAGATGTGGTACAAGTCCGACAGTATGTTGTACCCAGTGAGGGTCGAACTCACTATGCAGTTGTAAGCGACCTAACAAGCTTGTTAACCATTACACCACATCGTAGTGCTTCTGACTGGTCATTAGTAAATCGAAAGAGACAAGTGTTTATCACGTCTGGCATTTAACAGACTGGCTGAATTTCAGTCTTACTTTGGTGGTTTCTGAAACAAGATTTCGTCTTTTTGCTTCATATAGTTGTGAAATATCTATATGTACCTTTAGAATGTGGGCAATCATGGCCCTCCACAGTTTCCTTTCGTTTGTTGCTTTCAGTAATACTTTCTTCTTTATGATTCTTTTTGTAGTACTTCTTTCTGCAGCCATTTGCATAAAATTTGGCAAGTACGTTCTCTCCTTCAATATACCATGTCCTTGCAGAGCTTAGGCGATCATGGTTCTCCACTGCTTCCTATATATTTTTCACTGTTAGCAAGACTTTTTTCTTCATTGCCCCCTCTTTGACTTTGTGGTAATTATTACACCGGCCATTACACAAACTTGTCAAGTAAGTTATTTTTCTTCTTTACTTTCTATGTGCTATATCTCTTCATGATGTTGGTGATCATTCATGGCTCTCTACAGCTTCCTGTCATTTGTTTTTCTCAGTAATGCTTAGTTTTTTACAACCCGTTGTTGTCTTTGCAGTACGTATTTCTTCCAGATATATACATATTCCTCCAGCCATATACACATTCCTCCAGACATATACACATTCCTCCAGACATATATACATACTTGGCAATTTGGCTACTAGACTTCTTCTTCTTCTTCTTCTTCTTCTTCTTCTTCTTCTTCTTCTTCTTCTTCTTCTATTATTATTATTATTATTATTATTATTATTGTTAACAATGGTTTCTTCTTGTTTCGTATTTGAACCAAACTAAATAACAGAAAAAAACTTTTTTTCTTTATTTTTTATTTCAGTATTTTATTATTTTGTTTGTTTGTATTAATTTGTGTTTAGAACAATATATACTAATTTTAAAGTACCAATAAAAATGTTTCAAATAGGATTGTAACTTTTTTTTTATTCAAAAGGTTATCTTTAAAATAAGAGTGCGTCTTATACACCGTTTTTTTTTAAAATAATATTTCAAAACAATTGGTAATAAAAAAAATATTCTGGTTGCTACGGTGTTTGATGGAGAATTGGATAGGTGAGTGAGTGTTGGTCAAACCACTCTCCCATAAGTAGAGGAGAGAGAATGATAAGAGTAAACCTTGTTACACCTTTTAGCATCCATGGAAACGTCTAAATATATTCCGACTTTTTATATGAATTATGTTCGGGATAGTTTTTAATATTTGTTTTTTTTTTTTGTTGATGTTGTTTTTTCTCTTTATTTATCATTCTAAACGTCTGTACAGAATTGCTACTCCTTTTATAGTTGTCTTATTCTACATCACGCGTTAAATAATAACCTGGCAGTTTAGTAAAAGAAAACAAATATAAAAAGGAAACATAAAAAAGAAAAAACGGCACGACACATATCGTCTGAGCAGAAACCTAGATTCCTATTTTAATATATACATTACTTACATACATACGGATTACTTACATACGGATTTGCGTGTATGAATATATATGAAATATACGTCTGCCCGAACATATTCGCATGGAGATGAATGCACTTCTAAATAGAAGCACGTTCGACTAGGGATAAATGCTTACACGCATAAAAAATGTATTTCAAGAAGACAAAAAAAAAAAAAATAAATAAATAATAATAATATGTGGGTAAGGTGATAAAAAAAAGAAGCCCAAAAAATAAAATGGCGGAAATTCGCCGGGAGAAGAACGATAAATATTTATTAACAGATACATGATATTAATAACAATGATGTTTGCAGTTCAGACGTGGAAAAGAGAATGGGGGGGGAAGAAGAAGAAGAAGAAAAAGAAGAAAGCGGCATGAAAGAAAAGGGATATGAAAAAAAAAAGAAGTGGAGAAGAAATAGAACAAGATGATAACCAAAAGGAAAAAAAAAAAAAACAGAATTGTATTTATAAAGGAAAAAGTAAACAGATGAAAGAATCGTTGAATAAGTATTTAAGAAAGAAAGATATAGTAAAAGATATGAAACAGAAAGAAAGAAATAGTAAAACGAAAGAGTAAATGATGATATGACGCAAGAAGAAGGAAAATATGAGGGAATTACCATGTAAGAAAGAAAGAAAAAAAGAATGAAATGATGGAGAGGAAAATGGTAATAAAAACGGAGAAAATGGGAGAATATTAAAAAAAAAGAAAGAAGGTAAGCAAGAACGCCCAAGAAGAAGAAGAAGAAGAAGAAGAAGAAGAAGAAAAAGAAGAAACTAGGAAAGAAAATGAAAGACGGAAATTTCAAGGAGAATATATGACAATGAGAAAATGATTATAATAAGAAAATTTTAAGCAAGGAAAAAACATGAAATAACAAAAAAAAAAAAAAAAAAACAACGAGTAAGAAAAAAAAACATGGTGATGCGATGCAAAAAAAAAAAAAAAAATACCGAAAAAAATTTCGTGTAAAACTGATAAAAAAAGAATTGGAGAAGGAGTTGAAGAAGGAGAGTAAGTTAATGCAGACACAGAAAAAAACAAAAAAACAAAGATGAGAAGAAGAATAAAAAGGAAAGCGTCAGAATGATTGCAAGAAAAATACAAAGAGAAAAGAAGAGAAATAGGAAAAGAAAGAATAAGAATATATAGAAGGGAAGAGAAGGAAGAAGTAAAAAAAGAAAGAAAAGAAATAGATGCATATGAAAAGAGAAAAAAAGTGGAGAAGAAAAACGAAGGGAAAATAAAGCGGAGTGGGGGAGGAAACGGAAGAAAAAGAGAGAAGACGAAAAGGAGAAGGAGTTGGTGGGGAAATATTAAAAAGAATAAAAATGAAAGAATATTGTAATAAAGAATTTTTTTAAAAATCAATTCACCCCAAGCAAGGCAATAACGCCACTCAGACGCAAGTGACTAGTGGAAGTGGACGTGAAAGAAAAGACTTTAGATGGAACCGGTAGCGCAATCCTAAGCAGGAAACAAGGGATAAACCTTCTACTCCTGTTCAAAATACCGTGTGAGGAGAAAAATGTAAATAAATATTAAATCAAATTTCAGGCTTTAAGCAGAGACGTTAGAAGTATAAAGGTGAAGTAGAATTTAGAAGTATCCGAAAACCCAATCCTGAACATGAAACAAGGGATAAACCTTTCATCATCGTCATCATCATCATCATCATCATCCCCATGACTTTTGTAATCGTAATGGGAATCCAAATGCGGAAGCCATATTTAATCTCCTCCACAACGGTCTATCAATGGCAGCCATCAGCAATTCTAGTATAGTCATACTTGTTCATTGTTTGATATTGTCCAACCAGTTTTTGCGTTTGTGTCTTCTCCTACGTCCACCTTCAACGGTGCCTTCTATGATGGTCTTGCACGGGCTGTCGTACCTTGTAGCGTGACCAAACCACACCATTTTTCTCCGTTTGGCAGTGGCGAGAAGAGTTCCCTGTTGGCCCACAAAACTTTCAACCTTTATCCACACAAACCCATTGATTTTAAGTTCCCAGTAGAAGACGCCAAGGGTTTTTCTCAGGCATTTACCCTCAAGCACATCTCTGTGTTTCTGCCAAGAAGGTCCATGTTTCATATCCATATCAGAGAATGGAGATTACCAGCGATTAGTATAGTTTGTACTTCATTTTGAAAGTTGATTTTGCTCATCCATATTCTTGCCAATTTGACAATCACTGCTATAGCTGCGGCAATCCGTGTGCAGATTTCCGAGCTTCAGGTACCATCTTTGGACAAGATTGCTCCTAAGTATTTAAAACTGGACATGGTCTTCAAGGTTTCTTGCATGCTTCTCTCTAGAATGAAAGTATTCATCCCTGTCGCCCGCCGACAGTTGTCCGGAAGAATCCTCTCTTTTGTTTTCACAGAAGAACTGTGCTGGTGGTATCTTTATATAGGGCCTGAATGAATTGGATAATTCCGTTACCTAAACTGAATTTCCCAAGGGTATGCCAAAGACTACCATGCCATACACTATCAAACGCTTGTTTGAAATCTACAAAGCCGTGGAACACGTCATTCTGATAAACCCCTGTTCAAAATACGGAGGAGGAGCGTGAACTGGGCAATAGGTGAACCTATCTATTCTTATTCAAAATAAAAAGTTGCTGATGATAATATATATGTGAAGAAATGTAAACATTAAATATTGAAAATTATCACCATATGAAAACGAAACTAGTTACATTTCGTCATCGTCTATCTGACCCCTAACTATCTCTAGTCACGATGTCCCCTCGTAGAGGCATCTTACCTTGCATCTAGCACATATAAGCCGTCGCTAAAGATGCAGATAAAATGATCAGTTCTCTGTACAGCTCCAGTAAGTACCTGACTCGCTATCGTCTACCTTTATAAGAGCCAAATCAGGCCGAGAATGGAGTACTTTTGTAATATTCGGGAGGGAGCTGCCCAGACACAGTCTCCAGCCTCGACAGAGTCCTTAAAGAAGAGGAAGAATCAAGATGAAAGAAGAATCAAAGAAGAAGAAGAAGAAGAACAAGAAGTGTTGTGGATTCCGGGATGAAATCCGGTATCAATAAATAACAAAGGCCAAGAAAGAATATAGGAAAATAAATGTATTAATGTAATAATACAAACTGGTAATGCAGGTTAGTAGTTCCAGGAATGCGGGTTAGTAGCAAAATATATATATATACAGTCTTTGGTATCGACGTATCACTGTATGACTTCTTACTGAGTCGACGTGCTTGCTCACTGTGACTCTTGCACGTTACGTTCGTTCTGGTTCATGCTCGTTCGTGTTTCTTTCTCGTTCTTCTTCCGGGTATTCACTAGCAGTAGTATATTTATACCCTGGGTGAGTCCACTTGTGTAAAAAGGGGAGAACCCCTCAACAAGAAGAATCAAAGAAGAAGAAGAAATGAGTATGAGTCAAATTAAGATGCTGGTTCGAATGAAGACAAAGGCTGGAATGTGTTAGTCACGGGACTTTTCTTAGTCGTGCGCTACAGGAGGAATATGTAGGAAAGAAAAAGGGGAGACGAGAAGCTGTTTCGGGAAATACATTTTCTATTCGTGAGATACAATATATTGATTGTAGTCTCTCGGGACAAAATTGATTGTGAATGCAAAAAAAAAAAAAAAAAATACCCCCCCCCAAAAAAAAACAGCCCTTGTCAGCCGGAATGAATTGCAGCATTAAACAAGGCATTGAAGGGCAATGATAACTGTCACGGCAAGCGGCAGCAAATGGTAAGTAAGACGTGGCTGAGCAGATAGACAGAGAGGGTAAGACCTCCGAGTCTAGCTGAGTCGTGATACAGTCTTTGACTGTAAGCGACGTCTGTCGAACTCTCTGCTTTAGCAGAGAGGAACCCGGATGAAGCTTTGCCGAAGGGCAAGGTTTCGTCCGGGGAGGTAGACAGGGCCTGAACCCGTCTAGGCGGGTTCGATGGCTATATTTTTGGCCGAGCCTTCAGGCTCGGATCAACCCACATTAAACCGGCCTTGTGCCACATTCAATCCTCGTGGGTGGATCGATAAATACTAAGACGTGGCTGAGCAAGGTGGTCAAAGACAATGCTTCATAACAGGAGTTTGGCTAGTTGGCCGGTAGGCAGGTTGGTTGGTTGGTTGCTCGCTAATAGCAAACCAGACCTAACACGACGAAATGGTGTGTAGCAATAGAAAAACAAAACAAAAAACAATATGATAACAATCACTGGACAATTAAAACAATCTGGCCTTCTTCAAGTGGTTAGAATGTCGAACTGAACCCTTTATTTCGCTCATTGGGGTAGACTGTTCTAGTTCCATGTGCCATGTCTAATAGATGTCAGTTATCTCCTGTTAATTCCTCTCTCCAAGTTCTCCACTGCCTTAACCATGTATTGAACTCACACTGTTTTGGGTCCTGTCACTGGATCTAACTAACGCCTTTATCCACTGTGCCATGTGTCATCGAAGGAACTTTCCAACCACCTGAAGAAGGCCGGAGCGTACAACGGCCGAAACGTTGTGATAAATATGGCGACAAAGATGAGGACAATAGTCCGAATAACGTAAGTAGTGTACATAATACCTCATCTCAGTAATACAGACAGATACTGAAAGGCCGAAACGTTGTAATAAATATGACGACAAAGATGAGAACAATAGTCCGAGTAATGTAGATAGTGTACATAATACCTCATCTCAGAAATATGAACAGATATTTGTTAAAAACAATAAAATTAAATATAAATAAACTAGACGAAGACATAACATCTTTCTTCATAAAAATTTAAAACATTTGGATCAGTAGGAGCATTCAGACAGTTAAGCGGTGTTGCCAACACGGAATATAAGAAAAGAGCGCAAAATTTTCTCTCTCTCTGTCTCTCTCTTTCTGTGTGTCTTTCTCTCTTTGTGTGTCTCTTTCTCTCTTGCACTTTTTTTTAGCTAAAAGATGCTATAGAGAAGTGTGTAGTTGCATCAACGTAAACATAAACTTAATCTGATGAAGACTAAAAGGATGAAACGCGTCAGACGAAAACTTTTAATATTGTGATTTGAGTGTGCATGCTAAATGACTGACCATCAAGCCGACTCGAAAGGGATTTATCTATACATCTGTCTATCTCAGTCTGTTAAGATCCACTTAATTCGACTTCGATCTATATATGTCGATCTCTATATATGCATTTATTTGACTTTGATCTGTTTTAGTCTGTTCCAATCTATCTATCTATCTATCTATCTATCTATCTATCTCAGTTACTTGATCTATCTATCTATCTATCTATCTATCTATCTATCTATCTATCTATCTATCTATCTGAATGTATTTATATCTGTCGAAATATATTCATATCTATTAAATTATTCAGACGTTTCCTACCCGACAGTAGTAGGAATTAGCAGAAGGCCATTTTAAACTGGGGATCCAATGTATCCACATGGGTTTCTCTCTCTCTCTCTCTCTCTCTCTCTCTCTATCTATCTATATATCTATCGCAATCTGTTTAAATGTGTTTAAATATACTGAAATCTATCTATCATATATATATATATATATATATATATACCAAACTGAGTATTACTATTATCACACACACACACACACACACACACACACACACACACATATATATATATATATATATATATATATATATATATATATATATAAAGTAATATCTATAGAGTGGGAATAAAGTCAATTTACAGTTACTTATAATAAAAAAGCAAGTCACTGAAGCAGGTGGCTTGCAGTTCGAACAGCATCGGTAATTAATTTACCATTATTACTATAGCATTTCATTGTTATTAAACAGAATTAACCAAAACCATTTTAATAATAAATTTCTGGATTGTCGATTAATTGCTTTGTCTAAAATGTTATTTTAAGTAACTGAATGGCGACTTTATTGTTACCCTGTAAATCTATCTATCTATCGATATATATATATATATGGTAACAATTGAAAGAAAAGAGGAAAACAGAGAAAAGTTTAGTGATAAAGTGAAAAAAATGAGGAAAAGGACAAATAATCATATTCTACGCATACACACATACGGGCAGAGAGGTACACACGTGCAAACGTACACACGCACATATACAAAAAAGCATTGCACCAATCAAAAGTTCAAGGTAACATCGATCAGCTAAGTGACAAAATTTTACTTGTATTAATTATATATATATATATATATATATATATATATATAATGACTACATG